AGGTGCTGAAGCAAGCTATTAACTCCAGGCTGTTTGCATAGTTAATCAATAATAAGCACGACACAGTGATTATCAACACTGAGCCACATGTCAGACAGCACATTACCTTTAGAATATCACACAGCAGGTAACATAGCTTTTAGTCTGTAAATGCTATTTTACTGTAAATTACTGCATTGCACTTCTTGTTTTATATTATCACTGAAACATTCTTAACTGTCAAAAGTAACTTTCAATTTCTTAAGCCAAATAACTAAGATAAATATAATGGCCCATAATTTAGCAGTACCTAACCTAAATTACAGATAAGAATAAAAAAACATTTATACATATCTGGCTCTGGGACTGTTCTGTGCAGTTGGCTCCTACAATAATTCATGAGTAATGCAAACATCGTACTACAAGAAATTAGATTAATTAAAAAAAAACTGAATATCATGTCAAATACATGGCCTGTAGGACATTTAATGTGGCTCTTGCACCCAGGGCTTTTTTTCAGCCAGAAAATGGTGGAACTCCATTTTGTCACCTCCAGCTCTTGCCCTCTGCTCCTCGGTCACCACTGCCACTTCTGTGTTACAAGAACAACATTCCTCTTGGTGGTTTGCGGCTCTCACAGATCCCTGTCTTCCCTTCATGGACTGACAGTGGTGAAAGATGTGGATCCAATGATCTTCCTGCAAGGGAGAGGGAGCAACAGAGCAGCCTACACTGCTTGGAGGTACAAGAGCTGGGCTGGGTATGTGAAATGCAAGGAAGCTTTTGGGGAGGGGGAAATATGAGGGCTGTGGAGGAGGATGTGTGCAGAAGTTGTGGATGGGGGAGAGAGTGTTGCAAAGGTCAGAGCCGAGGAGGAGGGGTGGAAGTGAGTTGTGGACAGCCTGTGAAAGAGAGCTGAACCCTGAACTCCGCACATGGAACACCCCAAAACCCTGCACTTGTATGCAGCATGCTCCTAAACTCTGCATACATAGTCTTACAGGTACAACTGGCCCTTTGAGGGTAACTATAATGCAGCTTGCATTAAAATTGAGTTTGACACCCCTGCCATATACTGTACATATAGGCTGGGGAAAGTGAATGTCTACTTCCCATGTTCTGGACTGTGCTCCTGCACTGGAGCTCACTGCCAGCAGCTTACAGGGATGTACTGATTACTTCCTCTGATCGGGGGCAGGGTTAGCTCAAGGAAGTGTTTTGGCGACCGGTACCTCTTTCTCAAGTTTGACTTTCTCAAGAGTACTGTATATATAGGCTGGGGAAAGTGAATGTCTCCTTTTTCATGTTCTGGACTGTGCTCCTGCACTGGAGCCCACTGCCAGCAGCTTACAGGGATGTACTGATTACTTCCTCTAACTAGGGGCAGGATTGGCAAGGAAGATTTTTGGCTTTCTCAAGTTTGACTTTCTCAAGAGTAAGTACATATAGGCTGGGAAAATGAATGGACTGTGTCCCTGCACTTTCTTACAGGGATGTTGACTTTCTGACCGGGGGCAGGATTGGCACCGGTATCTCTTTCTCAAGTTTGACTTTCTCAACAGTACTGTACATATAGACTGGGGAAATTGAATGTCTCTTTTTTCATGTTCTGGACTGTGCTCCTGCACTGGAGCCCACTGCCAGCAGCTTACAGGGATGTACTGATTACTTCCTCTAACTAGGGGCAGGATTGGCTTAAGGAAGTGTTTTCGGGACCGGTATCTCTTTCTCAATTTGACTTTCTCAAGAGTACTGCACATATAGGCTGGGGAAAGTGAATGCCTCCTTCCCATGTTCTGGACTGTGCTCCTGACTGGAGCCCACTGCCAGCAGCTTACAGGAATGTACTGATTACCCTTTTATCAAGTTTGACTTTCTTAAGAGTGATAAAGAGACATCCACTTTCCCCATCTTGTCAGCACATACTAGAGAGGATGCAGCCTGAAACTGTCGGTTACCCATCACCATTGGCCCTGGTGCGAGTGTCCATTCTCTTGTGATCCTAAGGCTATTTACAAGGCAATTTCCAGAGGTGGTTAAATGTGACTGTAATTCTTTTGGATTTGATTTTATTCAACTCATTAAAATATTTAACTGCACAAGATCATGTGCTTCTCTGTGTCTTTTTCTCTATATATTCAAGCCCAGTGCATTCCCTTGTGCATGACTAACCCTGGGACATCTGCAGAAGATCAAATCATGTTGTTTTGATGCAAGAATTGAGACTTAATCTATGGATTGTTGGTGGTCCCATTTTTAAGGCATATAACGCAGTTAGCGTTTAGTGTTCATTTTGCTACTGGTATTAATATTGTTTACTAAGCAGTGATGTTTATTTTTTACATTTAACATTTGAGCTGTGAATTTATATTATACCACCTGAATTCATTGAAGGCAATAGTTTTCAGATTTTTTGGAACAGGTGTTTTTGGAATTGTACAGTTTCCAGACTTTTCCAAAATAATTGGCTATTATTTGCCTCTGAATGACTTTGTTTAAGATTATGGATTGAGCTAGATTAGGAACAGTGGAGCATGCTAAACAGGACCTCACCATTAGCAGCATCCCTGTCTTCAGATAGTTTTGTCTTTTTGTGATAAATTGCCCTATCCTCTGATATCACCTCCTTGTCCCCTTACAGCTGGTTCTTGCTCTCTGGAGCAGAGCATGATGTTAAATAGTTCTACCTACTCTCTAAAGCACTGTGTAATGTCAGAACCATATGAAAATATGGGAGGTTTATGTCTAGCTGCTATTTCACAGTTTCTGATTTTATATATACTTATTCAGCACACTAAAAGTAAAATAATGTTTTAGGTCACTGCGCTGCTTTACTTTACTTTAGTGTGGCCAAAATAAAAGAATGACTCTTTTCCCCTCTGTGTCTCATGCTTTTTTCTGTCATGTAGCAAAAAGAAATAGACTTTTTTTTTAATTAAAAAAAAAAATCTGTTTTTCAGGCATCACTGTAAAACAAAGTGATACAAATCACAAATAGTCTGGATCTCAAATCAATTAGACACATAAGACTTGGTTAACAGAGAAGGCAAAAAAAATAATTTGGTAGGTGCCTCTAACTCCTGCTATGCAACCCTTATATAGTTACATATTTACATAGTTAGTCTGCCTGAAAAAAGACAAAAGTCTATACAGTTCAACCATTAAAAAAAAAAATGTTATTTATCCTATACCCACAGTTTATCCAGAGGAAGGCAACCCCCCCCCCCCCCCCAGAAAAGCATGATCCAATTTGCTCCTGCAGGGAAAAAAAATTCCTTCCTGATCCCCCGAGAGGCAATCGGATATTCCCTGGATCAACTTCACCTATAAATGTTAGAATCCAGTTATATTCTGTGTATCCAAGAAAGAATGCAATCCTTGCAATGCACTGAACTGGCCAGAACCAATTCTTGAGAGAGTCTATTCCACATTTTCACAGATCTCACTGTGAAGAAACCTTTCCGTGTTTGGAGATTACATTTCTTTTCCTCCAGATGTAAAGAGTTCCTCCTTGTCCTATGTGATGACCTCAGGGTGAATAACTCTACACCGAGTTCACTATATGAACCACTGATGTATTTATACATATTGATCATATCCCCCCTTAATCTCCTCTTTTCAAGAGAGAATAAATTAAGCTCCTCTAATCTTTCCTCATAGCTGAGCTCCTCCATGCCTCTTAAAGGACCATATAAAGGGTAGACTCCTGGGCAGCCAGTTGGCAATGCTTTGTAGAATGAACACCTACTGCCTAATAAGTTGTATTCCTATTCTCACATGCTGAGGGGTCCCACCAGTAAATAACAATGTCATTAGGTTATTTTTTTTAGTTACCCCCCTGACTCATACTGATGTATGTATAAACTGTACCTTGAGTCAATGATCTCTGCTTTTTTTAGCAAAGCAGCTAAGATCAGCCTTGAAAGCAGAACCTAGATCTCCAACTGCTGGTTAAAAATAAAAAGACTGAATATTTATTTGCAATACTTCAAATTTACACCATATTTGATTGAAAATGCCATTTTGATTTTTTTTTTGGTCCTAACTAGAGATGAGCGAAGTATTCAAAAATTCGATTCGACTGATTCGGCGAATTCGTGGAAAATATTCGATTCGAGTCGAATATATTCGCTGTGAATTTAACTTAAAAAAGGGTGTTTCTAGGCTTCAGAGAGACTTAATATTAGTGCAGAACACTGTACCTTTAATTTAAATGCCCTTGGAGTCTGCTGGGGAAGAGAAATAATACTGTCAGTCAGTATGACATGCAGATGAGTGCCGTCGATCTTAGAATCACCGCACACTTCACACATTTGGGCAGTCACGGGGCCAAAACCAGTGTTTGGAGCCACAGTGTGGCGGTGGAGGCAGCAGCAATGGGAGGCCATACAGCAACCTATGACAAAATGGAAACCAGCAGGAGTGTGAGGAGACCTCAAAGTGGCACATGGCAGAGTGGGAGCAATGGGAGGCGGTACAGGGACCCATGTCACACTGTGGACCCAGCAGCAGCGTGACCAGGCGGTACGGAGGCCCATGGCAGATTACAGGCCTGGCAGCAGCAATGGGAGGCCCGTAATCTGTCAGCGCCCTATGACAAAATGGAACCCACCAGCAGTGTGAGGAGACCTGAAAGTGGCACATGGCAGAGTGTGGCGATGGAGACAGCAGCAATGGGAGGCCGTACAGGGACCCATGAGAGATTCTGGACCTGGCAGCAGCATGAGGAGGCGGTATATAGGGGCCCATGGCAGATTAGGGGCCTGGCAGCAGCTATAGGAGGCCCGTAATCTGCCAGCACCCTATGTCAAAAAATTCAACACACCAGCAGTGTGTGAGGAGACCTGAAAGTGGCACATGGCAGAGTGTGGCGATGGAGACAGCAGCAATGGGAGGCCGTACAGGGACCCATGAGAGACTCTGGACCTGGCAGCAGCATGAGGAGGCGGTATATAGGGGCCTATGGCAGATTAGGGGCCTGGCAGCAGCTATGGGAGGCCCGTAATCTGCCAGCACCCTATGTCAAAAAATTGAAACACACCAGCAGTGTGAGGAGACCTGAAAGTGGCACATGGCAGAGTGTGGCGATGGAGACAGCAGCAATGGGAGGCCGTACAGGGACCCATGACAGACTCTGGACTTGGCAGCAGCATGAGGAGGCGGTATAGGGGCCCATGGCAGATTAGGGGCCTGGCAGCAGCTATGGGAGGCCCGTAATCTGCCAGCACCCTATGACAAAAAATGGAACACACCAGCAGTGTGAGGAGACCTGAAAGTGGCACATGTTTGGGGCATGATTCATGGCGGATTTAGTCAGTTGTGTCAGGAACTGGTGGTTTGAAATCCAGACTAATCCACGCCTGATTCATTTTCACAAACGTGAGTCTCTCCACACTTTGGGTGGACAGTCGTGTCCTCCGCGGAGTTGCAATACCTCCTGCCGCACTAAACACGCGCTCCGATGCCACGCTACTGGCCGGGCATGACAGCCTTTCAAGGGCAAATTCATCTAGTTGGGGCCAAAGGTCAAGTTTCGTTGCCCAGTAGTCAAGGGGATTGTCTACCTCGGTTGGCAGGGTGCTGTCCAAGTAGGCCTAAGCCTGTTGTTTGAGGTCCTGCTCCAGGTCCACCTGATGCTGCTGCTGCTGCTGCTGCGGCTGGTTATTAGTTTCCTCACTGCGCTGGTGAAGAAAGCTACTCATCATCGACTGCAGACTGAGGCAGCCGCTGCTGGTGGAGCTGCCACTGCTCCTACCACCCCACCCCTCCCCTGCTGCCATGGCAGCGGAACGCGAGCGCACAGGGCCCACAGTGTCTGAGGATGGACGTTGGCGCAGACAGGCAGAGACCAGCTGACTACATAGGTGGTTTTTATAGTACGTTTTTTTGGCCTCCCTCTCAGCAGGTGTGAAAAAGGCCACCATTTTGGAACGGTAGCGAGGGTCCAACAAGGTGGACAGCCAAAAGTCATCCCTCTGTCTGATGGTTATTATTCGGCTGTCGCTACGCAAGCAAGCGAGCATGCTATGGGCCATTTGTGCCAAGGAATGCGAGGGACTCCCTGCCTCCATCTCCACAGCATACTGCCACGGTGCGTCTGGGTCCTCTGTCTCCTCTTCCTCCTCCTCTACCAGATGCTCCTGCTCCTCCACTCCTGTCCGCTGAGTGGAAAAACCACCCATTTCACTCAATAATTCCTGAGCACCAATGTCCTCCTCTACCTCCTCCTCCTCTTCTTCCTGTCCTGCCCCCACATGGGTCATGTGGCGTTGAGATCTGTGCGCCACGTCTACCGCACCCTGACCAGCCATTATTAACAGCATTTGTTCCAGGACGTGCAACAGAGGAATGACGTCGTTCATCCCATAGTCCTGCCGACTCACGAATAGCGTGGCCTCCTCAAAGGGCCTGAGCAAGCGCAGGTGTCACGCATGAGCTGCCAATGGTTGACATCTAAGTTACACAGGGAGTACCTTTATCCGCTTTTAACATCAGGAAATCTGTGATGGCCTTTTGCTGTTCGTAAAGGCGGTCTAACATATGTAGGGTTGAATTCCACCTTGTTGCAACGTCACAGCATGAGGAGTCGGTACGGGGGCCCATGGCAGATTACGGGCCTGGCAGCAGCAATGGGAGGCCCGTAATCTGCCAGCACCCTATGTCAAAAAATTCAAACACACCAGCAGTTGTGTGAGGAGACCTGAAAGTGGCACATGGCAGAGTGTGGCGATGGAGACAGCAGCAATGGGAGGCCGTACAGGGACCCATGAGAGACTCTGGACCTTGGCAGCAGCATGAGGAGACGGTATAGGGGCCCATGGCAGATTAGGGGCCTGGCAGCAGCAGCTATGGGAGGCCCGTAATCTGCCAGCACCCTATGTCAAAAATTCAACACACCAGCAGTGTGAGAGGAGACCTGAAAGTGGCACATGGCAGAGTGTGGCGATGGAGACAGCAGCAATGGGAGGCCGTACAGGGACCCATGAGAGACTCTGGACCTGGCAGCAGCATGAGGAGGCGGTATATAGGGGGCCCATGGCAGATTAGGGGCCTGGCAGCAGCTATGGGAGGGCCCGTAATCTGCCAGCACCCTATGTCAAAAAAATTTAAACACACCAGCAGTGTGAGGAGACCTGAAAGTGGCACATGGCATGATAGACTGTGGGACCTGGCAGCAGCATGAGGAGGCGGTATAGGGGCCCATGGCAGATTAGGGGCCTGGCAGCAGCTATGGGAGGCCCGTAATCTGCCAGCACCCTATGTCAAAAAAATTCAACACACCCAGCAGTGTGAGAGGAGATCTAGAAAGTGGCACATGGCAGAGTGTGGCGATGGAGACACAAACCCACCGACTGTTTTGCTCGCTGCCAAGCTGCACCACTCTTCTCCTGATTGATGCGGAAGCAATAGCCTGATGACGACGAGGCTGCCAAGTGGCGATCAGCCTCATCATCATCAATTAGGGTCTCCCCCTCAACTACTAGCCCCCCTCGGCTGCGTGTGGGTCAGGAGACAGACCTGTCTCTAGACCGGCTACCGAGCCACTCTCCTCGCCACTACTTCTTCGCCTGGCTGCTGAAGAGGCGGATGTCTCCCCCCGTTCCTGACCGCCCTCTGTTTTAGCTCTTCCTCACTGTACTGGATGACACCGGGAGCACTAGCCTCTGGCTGCGAATAGTGCTGCCTCGACCCCTTCCCTCTGCTGCCATGTGCTGCTCGCTCCTAAAACATTGCCTCTATCCTCTTCCACTCCTCTTGCATGTTGTCTGACATACTCTTTAATTAAACGATTCTGTGTCCCTGAGTAACACTTCTGTGTCCCTGAGTAACGTTTCTGTGGCCCTAAGTAACAGTTCTGTGGCCCTAAGTAACAGTTCTGTAGCCCTCAGTAACAATTCTGTGTCTGTCCCCCAGTAACAATCTGTGTCCCTCAGTAACAATTCTGTGTCCCTCAGTAACAATTCTGTGTCCCTGAGTAGGACAATTCTGTGTCCCTGAGTAACGTTTCTGTGGCCCTAAGTAACAGTTTCTGTGGCCGTAAGTAACAGTTCTGTGGCCCTCATAACAATTCTGTGTCTGTACCCTGAGTAACAATTCTGTGTCCCTCAGTAACAATTCTGTGTCCCCTCAGTAACAATTCTGTGTCCCTGACCAGTAACGTTTCTGTGGCCCTAAGTAACAGTTCTGTGGCCCTCAGTAACAATTCTGTGTCTGTACCTGAGTAACAATTCTGTGTCCCCCTCAGTAACAATTCTGTGTCCCTCAGTAACAATTCTGTGTCCCTGAGTAACAATTCTGTGGCCCTCAGGAACAATTCTGTGTCCCTCAGTAACAATTCTGTGTCCCTGAGTAACAATTCTGTGTATGTCCCTGAGTAACAATTCTGTGTCTGTCCCTGAGAGTAACGTTTCTGTGGCCCCTAAGTAACGGTTCTGTGGCCCTCAGTAACAATTCTGTGTCCCTGAGTAAACAATTCTGTGTGTCTGGCCCCATGAGTAACAATTCTGTGGCCCTAAGTAACTGGGTTCTGTGGCCCTCAGTAACAATTCTGTGTCCCTGATTAACAATTCTGTGTCCTGTCCCTCAGTAACAATTCTGTTGTCCCTCGTAAACAATTCTGTAACGGTCTTGTCCCTGAGTAACAATTCTGTGTCTGTCCCTGAAGTAACGTTTCTGTGGCCCTAAGTAACGGTTCTGTGGCCCTCAGTAACAATTCTGTGTCCCTCAGTAACAATCTCTGTGTCTGTCCCTGAGTAACAATTCTGTGTGTCCCTCAGTAACAATTCTGTGTCCCTGGAGTAACGTTTCTGTGGCCTAAGGTAACAGTTCTGTGGCCCTAAGTAACAGTTCTGTGGCCCTCAGTAACAATTCTGTGTCTGTCCCTGAGTAACAATTCTGTGTCCCCCCAGTAACAATTCTGTGTCCCTCAGTAACAATTCTGTGTCCCTGAGTAACAATTCTGTGGCCCTCAGTAACAATTCTGTGGCCCTCAGTAACAATTCTGTGTCCCTGAGTAACAATTCTGTGTCCTGTCCCTGAGTTAAGAATTCTGTGTCTGTCCCTGAGTAACGTTTCTGTGGCCCTAAGTAACAGTTCTGTGGCCCTCAGTAACAATTCTGTGGTCCCTGAGTAACAATTCTGTGTCTGTCCCTGAGTAAACAATTCTGTGTCCCTCCAGTAACAATTTTGTGTCCCTCCTATGAGTAACAATTCTGTGTCCCTGAGTAACAATTCTGTGGTCTTCACCCTCAGTAACAATTCTGTGTCCTCAGTAACAATTCTGTGTCCCTGAGTAACGGGTTCTGTGTCTGTCCCTGAGTAACAATTCTGTGTCTGTCCCTGAGTAACGTTTCTGTGGCCCCTCAGTAACAATTCTGTGTCCCTCAGTAAACAATTCTGTGTCTGTCCCTGAGTAACAATTCTGTGGCCCTAAGTAACGGTTCTGTGGCCCTCAGTAACAATTCTGTGTCCCTGAGTAACGTTTCTGTGGCCCTAAGTAAAGGTTCTGTGGCCCTCAGTAACAATTCTGTGTCCCTGTAGCTAACAATTCTGTTTCAGTCCCTGGTAACAATTCTGTGGCCCTAAGTAACGGTTCTGTGGCCTCAGTAACAATTCTGTGTCCCTCAGTGAAACAATTCTGTGTCTGTCCCTCTGAGTAACAATTCTGTGGCCCTAAGTAACGGTTCTTTGGCCCTCAGTAACAATTCTGTGTCCCTGCGAGTAACAATTATGTGGCCCTAAGTAACGGTTCTGTGGCCCTCAGCAACAATTCTGTGGCCCTCAGTAACAATTCTGTGTCTGTTCCGAGTAACAATTCTGTGGCCCTAACTAACGTTTCTGTGGCCCTAAGTAACAGTTCTGTGGCCCTCAGTAACAATTCTTCTGTCCCTGAGTAACAATTCTGAGTGGCCCTCAACAAAACTAACGGTTTCTGTGGCCCTAAGTAACAGTTCTGTGGCTCTCAGTAACAATTCTGTGTCCCTGAATAACGTTTATGTGGGACCTAAGTAACGGTTCTGTGGCCCTCAGTAACAATTCTGTGTCCCTGATTAAAGTTTCTGTGGCCCTTAAGTAACGGTTCTGTGGCCCTCAGTAAAACAATTCTGTGTCCCTCAGTAACAATCTGTGTCTGTCCCTGAGTAACAATTCTGTGGCCCTTAAGTAACGGTTCTGTGGCCCTCAGTAACAATTCTGTGTCTGTGCACCTGAGTAACAGTTTCTGTGGCCCTAAGTAACGGTTCTGTGGCCCTCAGTAACAATTCTGTGTCCCTGAGTAACAATTCTGTGTCTGTCCCTGAGTAACAATTCTGTGGCCCTAAGTAACGGTTCTGTGGCCCTCAGTAACAATTCTGTGTCCCTGAGTTAACGTTTCTGTGGCCCTAAGTAACAATTCTGTGGCCCCCCTCAGTAACAATTCTGTGTCATTTTCCCTGAGTAACAATTCTGTGTCCCTAACTAACGTTTCTGTGGCCCTAAGTAAAGTTCTGTGGCCCTCAGTAACAATTCTTTGTCCCTGAGTAACGTTTCTGTGGCCCTAAGTAACAATTCTGTGTCCCTGAGTAACAATTCTGTGGCCCTAAAGTAACGGTTCTGTGGCCCTCAGTAACAATTCTGTGTCCCTGAGTAACAATTCTGTGGCCCTAAGTAACGGTTCTGTGGCCCTCAGTAACAATTCTGTGTCCCTGAGTAACAATTCTGTGTCTGTCCCTGAGTAACAATTCTGTGGCCCTAAGTAACTGTTCTGTGGCCCTCAGTAACAATTCTGTGTCCCTGAGTAACAATTCTGTGGCCCTAAATAACGGTTCTGTGGCCCTCAGCAACAATTCTGTGGCCCTCAGTAACAATTCTGTGTCTGTCCCCGAAGTAACAATTCTGTGGCCCTAACTAACGCTTTTCTGTGGCCCTAAGTAACAGTTCTGTGGCCCTCAGTAACAATTCTGTCTGTCTGAGTAACAATTCTGTGGCCCTAACTAACGTTTCTGTGGCCCTAAGTAACAGTTCTGTGGCCCTCAGTAACAATTCTGTGTCTGTCCCTGAGTAACAATTCTGTGGCCTATCTAACGTTTCTGTGGCCCTAAGTAACAATTCTCTGGCACTCAGTAACAATTCTGTCTGTCCCTGAGTAACAATTTCTGTGGCCCTAACTAACGTTTCTGTGGCCCTAAGTAACAGTTCTGTGGCCCTCAGTAACAATTCTGTGTCTGTCCCTGAGTAACAATTCTGTGGCCCTAACTAAAAAAAGTTTCTGTGTGGCCCTAAGTAACAATTCTCTGGCACTCAGTAACAATTCTGTCTGTCCCTGAGTAACAATTCTGTGGCCCCTAATAACGTTTCTGTGGCCCTAAGTAACAGTTCTGTGGCCTCAGTAACAATTCTGTGTCTGTCCCTGAGTAACAATTCTGTGGCCCTAACTAACGTTTCTGTGGCCCTAAGTAACAATTCTCTGGCACTCAGTAACAATTCTGTCTGTCCCTGAGTAAACAATTCTGTGGCCCTAACTAGCGTTTCTTTGGCGCTAAGTAACGATTCTGTGGCCCTCATTAACAATTCTGTGTCCCCTGAGTAATGCTTCTCTGTCCTAAGTAACGTTTCTCTGTCCCTAAGTAACGTTTCTGTGGCCCTTAACTCTGTCCCTAATACAGAGCGGTCTGCCTCTCTTGAATGACTGGAGGCAAATTAAGAATTCTAAAATGGCCGCTATTTATAGCTCGACCATTACACAGTGCTGGCTGGCTGCTGCTGATTGGCTAATGCGATCACTTGTCATTAAGGAATGCATTATGGGTCAGCGCGCCTTGTCCTGCGCGCGCCTTCCCAGACATCCCCGCTCCGTCGCCGCACATGGTCCGCCGCCATTTTAGGAAAAATTTCGATTCGCGCGTCCGAAGTAGGCTATTTTTCGGATTCGGCGATTTTATTTTTCGGATTTTCCAATATTCGACTCGAATTCCACTTCGCCTACTTCGATTCGCTCATCTCTAGTCCTAACCATAATGAATAAAAAAATTGTTTAATGCCACCAGGATATTACAAAATGTTAGAAAACGTTATATGAAGTAACCAAATGTTTTTGCCAAGGGGAAAATCAACTTTATATGAAGAAACCTCATGTTTTTGCTACAGGGAAGGTCAGGAGGAATTGTTTGTTCTGTATTTTTTACCACTAAATTAGCAGAATGGGAATCACATTTCTTTGCTTTGTACAATACTTTCAGAATGGATGATCTACCCAATGGTGAAAATGTAATGAGTTGAAATGAATACGCTTTGTAAAATTTGCTTTAATTTGCTCCTGTGATCTAGTTTGTGGTTTGAGTTTTCTCATTATGGTTTTCTCATTAAATAGAGAAAAATATTTCTTAGAGACTTCCTATCATCCTTCTTTTGATATAAAAACATAATAAAAAAAATTATCAGATGGAAAAAGCATATTTGATATACTATTGCTTTAATATTTTTTTTCTTTGTTGTAGCGATATAGTGGTAGCACAGCCTAGAAGCTGACAATGATGAGGAATAGGACTTGGGGGTACTTATTTCAGATGATTGCAAAATGAGCAAACAGTGTGGCCAGGCAGTGGGGAAAGCGAATAGAATTTTAGGATGCATCACTACAGGGGCTACCAGCAGGAGGAAGAAGGTCATGGTTCCTCTATATAGATCTTTAGTTAGACCTCATTTAGAAAATTGTGTCCAATTCTGGAGACCTCACAAGAATACGGGGACATGACCTTAAATTAACTGGAGGAAAGTTCAAAACTAACCTCAGAAAGTACTATTTTACTGAAAGAGTAGTTGATGCTTGGAATAAACTTCCAGCAGAGGTAGTGAGCCAGTCAACAGTATATAACTTTAAGCATGCTAGGGGCAAGCATAGATCTATATGAAAAAGTTAAAAAAACAAAACCCAACCCCCTCCCCAAAACAAACAAACAAAAAAAAAACAACACACACACAAAACGGGCAGACTCGATGAACCACTCAGTCTTTCTCTGCCATCACTTTTCTATAATTTATGTTTGAGGAGCTGCATAGGAGGGATAAAGGGATAATACCTGTTAGTTTAGGAATAGTTGGAAATGCTAAACAGGGCCAGAAGCCCTGCCTTCAGATAATTATGTCTTTTTGTGATACATTGACCCTTCCTCTGATGTCACCATCTACTTCTCTTATTGCAGATTCATGTGCTATATCCACCTATCATCATAGAAGTGACATATTTTTAATACAATGCTATAGCCTGTGTAAATTAGTGATTTGTTGAACTGGAAATTGAGATACCAGCACTTATAAATACCTGACATTGTGGTTTGTTAGATTCAATGCTGAGATATACTGTATATATTATTATTATTATTATTATACAGTATTTATAAAGCGCCAATAGTTCGCTCAGCGCTGTACATTACAAAGGGGGACAGAACATGTGACAGAACAATACCAATACAATGCAAAACATGAGGGGATCGAGGGCCCTGCTCTTTCAAGCTTACAATCTAGGAGGGAGGGGGTGGTGGCACAGGAGGAGATAGCTGTGGGGGATGGAGTGGTAGGAAGAGTGGAGGAGGTCGGCAAGTTAGCAGGGGGTGGGGTAGGCTTCCGAAGAGATGGGTTTTCAGGGTGCGCCTAAAGGAGAGGAGAGTAGGTGATAATCTGATGGGTTGGGGCAGGGAGTTCCAGAGGATGGGTGACACCCTGGAGAAGACCTGGAGGCGGGCATGGGAGGAGGAGACCAGGGAACTAGAGAGAAGGAGGTCTTGTGAGGAGCGGAGTGTGCGTGCTGGGCGGTACTTGGATATTAGGTCAGTGATGTAGTTCGGGGCAGTATGGTGGACAGCTTTGTACGTCAGCGTTAGGATTTTGAATTTGATCCGTTGCGCAATCGGAAGCCAGTGGAGGGATTGGCAGAGGGGGGTGGCGGAGACAGAGCGGTTGGAAAGGTGAATGAGTCTGGCAGCCGTATTCAGGATCGACTGAAGCGGGGATAGCCAGCGGCGAGGCAGGCCAGTGAGGAGGGAGTTGCAGTAGTTGAGTTGTGATATGATGAGGGAGTGGATGAGCTGTTTAGTGGTTTCTGGGGTTAGGAACGTGCGGATTTTGGCAATGTTGCGGAGGTGGAGTCTGCACGAGTTTGTTAAAGATTGGACTTGGGGCTGGAAGGATAGGTTGGAGTGACACCCAGTACTCTGGCCTGCAGGGCGGGTTTGATGGTAGCGTTGTTGGATGTGACGGAGAAATCAATGGGGGTGGTGTCCGGGCTGGGGGGGAAGACAAGAAACTCGTTTTTGGAGAGGTTCAATTTAAGGAAGTGGAGCGACATCCAGTCTGATATGTCGCTCAGTAGGTGTGTGATTCAGGCGGAGACCGAGGGGGTGAGGTGGGGGGTTGAGAGATAGATTTGTGTGTCGTCGGCATAGAGGTGGTAGTTGAAGCCGTGAGAGTGTATGAGTTGGCCAAGGGAGGAGGTGTAGATGGAGAAGAGAAGGGGCCCGAGGACAGAGCCTTGAGGGACCCCAACAGAGAGGGGGAGTGAGGGGGAGGTGGTAGCATTATAGGTAACGCTGAAGGAGCGTTGTGACAGGTAGGATGAGAGCCAGGAGAGAGCAGAATCTCTGAGGCCGAGGGGAGTGTAGTTTTTTGAGGAGGAGGGGGTGGTCGACTGTATCGAAGGCCACAGAGAGGTCAAGGAGTAGGAGCACTGAATAGTGGCCATTAGCTTTGGCAGTTAGCAGGTCGTTGGAGAGTTTGAGTAAGGCAGTTTCGGTATATATACACTGTTCAAAAAAATTACAGAAACACTTTTCAATCAGAGTATAGCATCAAGTAAATTAAACTCCTGGGATATTGATCTGGTCTGTTAAGTAGCAGAGGGGGTTGTTAAACTGTTTCAGCTGCTTTGGTGTTAATGAAATTAACACAGGTGAACTAGATTGGCAACAATAAGACAACCTCAAAACAGGAATGGTTTTACAGGTGAATGTCACTGACATTTTTTTCCCTACTCACCTTTCTGACTGTTTTTCACTAGTTTTGCATTTGGCTAGGGTCAGTGTCACTACTGGTAGCATGAGGCGATACCTGGACCCTACAGAGGTTGCACAGGCAGTCCAAATCCTCCAGGATGGCACATCAATTGTGCCATCGCCAGAATGTTTGCTGTGTCTCCCATCACAGTCTCCAGAGCATGGAGGTGATTCCAAGAGACAGGCAGTTACTCTAGGAGAGCTGGACAGGGGCATAGAAGGTCCTTAACCCATCAACAGGACCAGTATCTGCTCCCTTTGTGCAAGGAGGAACAGGATGAGCACTGAAAGAAGCCCTACAAAATGATGTCCAGCAGGCCACTTGTGTGAATTTGTCTGACCAAACAATCAGAAACAGACTTCATGAGGGTGGCCTGAGGGCCTGATGTCCTCTAGTGGGTCTTGTGCTTACTGCCCAGCACCATAGAGCACGATTGGCATTTGCCGTTGAACACCAGAATTGGCAGGTCAACCACCTGTACCCTGTGCTTTTTACCCTGAGCACATGTGACAGATGTGAAAGGGTCTGGAGAAGCCATGGAGACCGTTATTATACTGCCGGTAACATCATTCAGCATGACCATTTGGTGATGGGTCAATGATGATCTGGGGAGGCATATCCAAGGAGGGACACACAGACCTCTACAGGCTAGACAATGGCACCCTGACTGCTGTTAAGTATCAGGATGAAATCCTTGGACCCATTGTCAAACCTTACGCTGGTGCAGTGGGTCCTGGGTTCCTCCTGGTGCACGACAATGCCCGGCCTCTTGTGGTGAGAGTATGCAGGCAGTTCCTGGAGGGTGAAGGAATTGATACCATTG